GTGTGTGTGTGTGTGTGTGTGTGTGTGTGTGTGTGTGTGTGTGTGTGTGTGTGTGTGAAATTAGCTATGGAGTGTTTTTAGGGGCTGGGCCTTGTATTCTTCATGGCATGTACTCAACTTCTGGTCAGAAGAGAGATAAAAATACATTTTGTCAAATTTCTTTATATTATTTAAAGCTGGTTCATATTTTTGTTTATCTACGTAAGAAAACTATAATGGTAATAAGGTGATGAGAGTTAGTTGCTTTTTGAAATGACTTTAGTAATGAACTTAAACACTTTAATAGAAACAGAATAGAAACAGCCTTTATTGTCCCGCGCGGGGAAATTCCGGTATTAATAATAATWAATTAATAATAATAAAGTGCCAAAACAAAATAAAACATAAGGAAGTGGGATTTGGGGTCATCATTGCATGTATTCACGTATGTTCTTCTGTGATAATGACTCGTGAAAGATGCTTGACTCCACCTTCAAATGTCTTTAAACAAATGATAAAAATACTTAGAGTGCAGCTATTGTACTGAGAAACAGSTATTGAAAAACAGTACCTGTGTTCCCTCATATAGAGAACACACGTACCCTGGCAATTCGCAAAAACACAATTGTAGCACTTCTTATAGGAACTTAACTATATTATACAAGAAGTAAATCATGATAACTCTGCAACTATTTTGAAGGAAAGCTTGTTTAGCAACATTTCAGAACGTGTTAGAAGTTCCAGCCACACGAGAAGAAGCCCTAGTGAATAATTTAAAGCAATGGAGATGTTTTAAAAACTTTCTTGTAAATGTTGTTTAAAACATAACAACCCAGAACGATACTAGCTTAGCTGTTTTTTCTTTGAAATTTCACTCTGTTTTCATTTTAGCCCCATTCACATAAAAATACAGTTTTTCCAAAACAATGGTTTTATTTGGCATTTCTGGCTCATTTCTAGAAATGTCTTCATTTACACTGAAACAACCAAAAYACTGTAGTAATTACTGTATGTATAATGCACTTTGTGTATAATGCAGTACCTCTTTTTTACTTTGAAAAGCATAAAAAAATATATTCTTCATGTATAATGCTAACCCCACTTTCATACAGATTTCAGGATTTCTCAGGCTTTGCAGTGTATCCCTCTGGTGGGGAAACAGTTTATTTTGTGAACACGCTACTGATACTRCATGTCACTGAACATTATTTGTCACTTCCAGAACAAAATCAGGTTCTTAAATGAGCATGATGGACGAGGTCCTATTGAGCATGTGAACATGCAACTGATGTCAACATCTCATTTCCATCTCCACAGTTAATAACCTAAAAAACGTATACAGCGGGTAAAATAAGTATTGAACATGTCAACATTTTTCTCAGTAAATATATTAC